GGCAAACTTGCTGAGGGTGCACTCCATCCCACTGTCCATGTCCGCAACAAAGATGTTGAACAGTACAGGTCCCAGTACCGACCCCTGAGGAACACCACTCGTCACTTCTCTCCACTTGGACATTGAGAATGTACCCCCAAGCATCTCCTAGGATGGGCTTTGCTGGTGCCAGTCCAGCTGGGAGCACAGCAGATTCATCCAAGGACGTTTGCAGCCAGGGTGAGGCTAGCTGGGCACAGGGATCCTAAAATTATCCAACCCCACAGTCCCTCGCTGCCGAGAGAAAGCGGGGAGGGTGGTGGGACGGGGAGAGAAGGAGGTGTGGATTGCCAGGAATGTGTCAGAGCAGCGGCTGATAAATCAGGTGCCGGCTCGTTAGGAGGGGGTTTGTTTTGCTTTCGGCTCGTGTTAATGGGAGTAACATGGTGCATGGTTGTCAGGCTCCGTGCTGGTTCCCTTCCTCGGTGGCTTCACCCAAGAGAGGCCGACATCCTCCTCCACGGCACCAGGGAGGGGTGGACAGCTGTGAAAACCTCAAAGCAGTGGGTGCAACGTGGTTCCAGCAGCCCCGAACCGGGCGATGGGAGCCAACGTCCCCCAAGGACCGGGGAAATGACCCTGATGAGCTGCTGGGACCCAAGGGTGATGGTTGGCCTGGGTGGCGAGATGTAACTGCTGCGGTCCAAACCACATGTGTTCCCTCCCAGCGTAGCAGACGGCCAGAGGTAGCAAGTGCCTTGGCGTCGACCCCTTCTTTCCCCATCTGGTGTTTCAGCTGGAAGCACCAGAAATAAAGCTCTGGTTGGAGTCGGGGGTTTCGTAGCAGAGGCACAGCCCATCGCCTCTCCTCAGGTCCAACCCAACAGCGTAGAAGTGGGGCAGCAACTGCCCCCCAACCTCTCGCTTTGCCCTCAGAAGCTTACACTGGGCTCTTCTGTGTTTCTCTGTGGTTTTTCCGCTCCCACGGCCAGTTCCTTCATTTGGGACTGAACAAGCCACCGTGATCAGGCCATGGCATTTAACAGCCATGTGTGAACGTGCCCAACTCCTTTTGGACCTGCTTGGGCTTCTGCCTCCACAAAGTCCTGCAACGAGGAGCTCCAGCCAGGTGAGAAGGTGCTGTGTGGGAAAGGGCTGTCCTGAACCTCTCCTGGACTTGCTGCCCACCGTTTCATGAGGTTCCCTCTTGCCCTTGTGTTGTAAATCACGAAGGATGCTCATGACTTGTGCTGTAAATCATGAAGGATGCTGGCTCCCATCACAGCCCTGCTCAGCTGCCCCTCTTCCTGAAGAGCCTGATCTTTTCCCTTCCCCATCATCCCATGAAGCCAAGCTGCTCCCAAGGAGTGGGATCCCATCCCCACCATCCTATCCCATCCCATCCCATCCCATCCCATCCCATCCCATCCCATCCCATCCCATCCCATCCCACCCCATCCCTT